GTAAACTCATGGGAGGGGATCGTTAAACAGAGTGTTCGCAACGAAAACCTTGATAATCGATTCTTCACCATGGCTTCAAATGGGGAAATATCGATAATCGATCATTCACGCTTTGCCGTACATTGTCTTGAGTCAATAGGAGAGGTCGGGCGAAATTTGGAAGTTTGAAAAGCTCATTACTCCGTTTTTACAAAATTTTGAGGTTCTATGCGTGGCTTCATTTGTTTCCTTGTAAAACTTTCTTCTAAAAGCACCCCTTGAAATTTAAAATGTGACGAAATATTCATCAAAATTTGCAGTTTTAGTCAAAAATTACCTTTCCGACGTCTCTAATTGACTCAATCCGCTGTGTGCCTCTGTTCTGCGGGTCTATCATTGTTGTTTAATAGTGCTGAAAAATCAGCACTTTTCCCCATTCAAACCAATGTAGAATATTCACATTTTATTGTACGATCTTGGGAACCTTGGCGTTGATTGTCGAATCGTCATCGAACGATTTTTATCAATAAATTCTTTTAGCAATGATGTTTATCTATCAAGGCGATTCAATAACGATCCGCGTTGATTATTCCAAGATTACAAACGATATTATGAGGAAGGAATATGGTGTTTATCTTAATGTAGGTAAATGTAAACACGCTGGTGGATCAAATCCCGCGTCTCGTCACGTGCGTTATGGCGGGTTGGCATCGGCCATGTTGAATATTCCATAGAATTTTAGTGTGCGCAAAGGGTTGGATGGGACGACTTCTCCCACGAAATGCTCACCTGTGCTGTACCGTCGTTGCTGAAGCGGGGAGCTGAAAGAATCACGTATTTTTTACGCAGCTAGTGTAGGTAAAAGTGTATGTCAGACTTTCCCGATGCTCATCGTGATTTTTGAGCCATTTAGAATACTGCCACGCTAAGTAAAAACGCCGTATGAGTCTTTAAACGTCGCCAGATTTCCATCAATAAAAACCTAATTAACTGGGACGATTTTGAATATATTGTCTTACAATTTTTCAGAAAATTTTAGTCGCACTTCGATCTAAAGTAACTGAAAATTTCAAGGGATAATATGAACATATCTCCCTAAAAAATACATGTTTTATCCGAGGAAATTTGGCAACTTTCAAATGTTCATACGGCGTTTTTCCTTAGCACGGCAGTATAAGAAGCATCTCTTCTCTTTTGCTGTAGCTTCAGTTTGCAAGAGGCCCACTGATCGGCTTCTGAATTCCTAGGGTCCCACGCTGTATTTCCTGGACGGAGGAGGCCCTAGAGTGGAGGGCCCACGACCGAGAGCTGAAGTTGTTCGTGTTGTGTTTCCTGTGCACGCTGTACCCGGCCGCTTTCATAGCGACCATCGTCTCGCCGGGCGTGCGTTTCGGCTTATCCATCAACACCACGTTCATCGTCTTCCCGATCTGGTACCCGTGTGACGTCATGGCCCGCCCTGCCTTCTTCTGGACCGCCTACGTCTGTGAGACGGTGATGTTATGGCTTGCCGCCCACTGCGTCGTCAGTAACAATTTTCTTTTCATTTACATGGTCATGTCGACCAGGCTCCGCTTTAACATCCTCGCTAATTACTTTGGGGATATTACCACTCCCGAAATGTGGAAATTCCGCAACGGCAGACATTCCACCGGAGACATCTCAGGAATGAGCTTAGGTGAGGATAGACTGACTTAGTGGATACGCTATACGTTTCATGTCGTAGTTAGTTTGCTCGATTTTGAGCAGACATTTAATCTTGCCGTATCCGCGCCACGGTGCGTTAAAATGCATTCAAGTGTTTCTTGCAATATATATTTCTCGTCTTTGATGTCGTTAATAATTGATACGTACATCAAAAGTGAAACGACCAGACCACGTATCTCGTTTACGATGTTTGAAAATTTCCGCTATCATTATATTTTTTTTGGGAGAACAAATTAATATCATTCCTTGAAGTTTCCATGGAGTTTTCTTCGCTTGGAGAAGAAAAATCACGGAAGTTTTCAAGAATTGACGTTGAGTGGTTTTCCATTAAAAAAATAAAGTATGATAGGAAGTCTGCGACATCGCAAACCACCATACATGGTCTGGCAGTTTCACCGTCAACATGTGCTTAATTACTGACAAAGCTGTATTATATGTACTCTGTGTATTAACACAATGACCTAACGCAGAATTAACACGAGTGGTATGCCGTATTGCTTTTGTTTGAATTCGCTAACGCAAAACGTTATATGTCGAATATCGCCACCATTGCAAATCCAGGTTTAGAATATCGCAAGAATGACGAAACCGCTGAATCAGTTGGTTCATTTTCATCTTGGGTTAAGGGCCAGTATCGTTCCTTATGAAGGCCCTATATGGTTTACAATTTAAATTACATTGCGATCAAAGAAGCCTGTAACCTGTGACAGTATCAAAATATGGACAATTTTTAAGAATCTTCGGGGAAAGCCAAAGGTACAACTTTCAGAGAAGATTCTTGGCAGGTATTAAAATGATTTAAGAGCACACAAAATAAATTAAATAATTCTAAAATTTTGAGAACGTATGAAATCCTCTTGTACTGTGTAATGTATGTGGATTCTCTTTGGCACACGGGTCGCGGAGACTATATAGGGACCAGGCATTTTTTACAGGTAAGGTCGTTTTGGAAAATTTAACAGCGTGATTTCACATTTCAGAAAACCCTCGTACAAGGTGGTTATAGGACATTACGTCAACGATTTTTTGTCCGCGCACCTGTTTATCCAGTAATTTATCCAGTTAATTCGTTTTATCCACGCGTCTTTTCGGCACGGGAGGTCTAGTCCACGTGCCAGTTGAGACTCAAAGTTAATTGACCCACATGTAAATACAAACTACAATTGCTCACGACGTTTTTGGATGAAAATGTATAATGTCTTGGAGGAATGAGGGTTTGCTTGTTTTTTTGTTTTGTCTGTTTGGTCCAACGGAAAATTATATATAGTTGAGAGTTTTGGTAAAAATGGGGGAGCGTCAATTCCATGAGACAAAATTCACTGAAACTCCTCTACACCTCTTTGGCGTAACAGGACTTAATTATCTTTCAAGAAATTCCCACCTTGTTATACCTGAACCGGATAAACCTCCGTTTGCCTCAGCTAAAGGCTCTTAGATTTTTCCTGTGTACAATCAGTATCTTGATTTATTTTGCGAGGAAATATCTGTAATTTTAGAGGATGCCTGTCATTCTTGATACGTTCAATTTCGTATAATACTGAGCAACACCTCTGTTGTGAAATAGTTGCTCCATGCGCCGCCGTACGCGCGTACGACGGGCGGGCGGCCAGCACGAACCGCACATTGGCGCCTACAAACCTAAGTGGATACTTCAAGCATTGTGCAATGCGTGAAGTATCCACTTAGGTTTGTAGGCGCCAATGTGCGGTTCGTGCTGGCAGCATGCCGCTCCGCTCTGTTAGGCTTTAATATTATTTATACTCGCGTAGTCAGCGTTTTTAAGAAAGTCGGCGCGTGGTTGCGACACTGGCAGCGACACGACACGAAGCAATTCCATAGCGCGCGACATAGGTATCGCTGCGCGCTGTCAGTGTTTCTCCGCGCGAGGTGTAACTCGACGCGCGCCATGTAGGATCGCATGGCTCAAGGTTGTATGTTGCCAAACGTCTTTTTAATTAAAGTTTAAAACCTAACCTAACCTAACCTAACCTAACCTAACCCAACCTAACCTAACCTAACCTAACCTAACCTAACCCAACCTAACCTAACCTAACCTAACCCAACCTAACCTAACCTAACCTTACCTAACCTAACCTACTATTAAGCTAAAATTAAATCTACATTTGGCAGCCGTGTCTTGACCTTGTTAAGGCTCTGTAGCAGCGCGCGCGAGAGATTTTCGCCCGCGCGAGGTATTGTCGTGACCTTGGAGATTTCTTCGCGCGCGGTGAGGTTACTTCGCGCGCGGGGAGATTTTTTCGCGCGCGCGGAGATTCTTTGCGCGCGCCGACTCTACTGCTCACGCGACGACTCTGCTGCTCACGCGCCGACTTTTTTCGTGAACGCGCGCGAGGTTTCGTGAACGCGCACGAGGTTTACGGAAATAATTCCATATTAACTCATGATTTTGAAATTTTTGCACACTCTGAATTGATTATTCTCATTTAAATTGATGGGAAAAATATGTATAAATTTATCAAAGGAGAATAATAATATAATGTGTGTTTTTTAAATATTGGTGGTTCCGTGTCAAATTTAATGATTTCCAAAGCACTTTAATTTCCTCTTTTACATTTTGTTCTTTTATTGTGCTGCAAAGAGGTGTACGCGCAACCAAATGCTCAAAATTTGACGTATTTGACTCTAAAAGATCGAGGTACAAATGGGTTTTAAAACTAAAGATTGCGTGCTTCTCTGTTTTTTCCCCTCTTTTATTCATGATTGCAGTTTCTGTCAGCACAACTGCGGCTCATTAAGATTATTGTCGCTTGGAAAAGATTTTACAAATATTTGTCACGTTTTATAGAAATATAAATGTTTTCAAAATGAAGTAATAATTTCGTAAAGAAAAAATTAAAAAAATAAAAAAAAGTACCGATACATATATAAGGTATATTGTACATCGAATATTTTAAGGATAGGATAAAACCAAATATTCACCAATGACAATTTAAAAAGATGATTCAAAAGGAGAAAGTAATAACATTTCATTTAGAAAACGAGCAACCATAACAACACCTCCTTCTCTCTCAATTTCTCATTTCCATATTGTCAATATAATTTTACATACCGACTAATATATAACGCTTGGACCAAGTCACTTTTGCTTATTTTACGTGTGGGCGTAAGCTACTGGACAAAAAAGGTGGGCGGACAAAAAATCGTTGACAAAATGTCCTGAAACCTACAAGGTTACAATCTATTAACTTTGATCTGATTATGTTGTCAGTATAGCTTATATTTGACGCAGTAAACTAGGTATTTAGTCACCTCTTAGTGACACTGCGTAAAAATCTGTCCACTAACAAGAGCTGTTTTCCTCTAACTTCATTAATTGTGTTAAGTTTCTACAGTGACAAATATAAACAAGGATGTGATGGAAATAATACTGGTCAATCCTGAACAACTCACAGAGTTCTTGAAATCCAAAAGGCTGATAGATGGCCTCATGGATTTGTTACTTCTTAGAAGGTACTTTCATTTTTATCTCTGATTACAGTATAATAAAACAAAACTTGAAAAAACTGAGTGTACTTGCTTTGCCAGAGGGCATATTTCTATTTTATATGTATAGGTTTCATGTATGCTACGATTAAATAACTACAAAATAGTTATCGAATCACTGGAATAATGAATTATAAATTCTGCTTCATTCAGTGGCAAGGGACATTGCTATACATTCATCAACTGTAAAATTTAATTAATTTTTTTCTCTAGAGAATTACCAATAGAAACCTGTGATAATTATGTTTAAAGTTGGAAAATTTAACACTATTGACTGGAATCCTCGTGCCAGAATGGTCATGCATATGTATACATACAATTTGCTGTTTCTGAAATTTGGAAAAAAATATTTGCTCTCTGTTTTAATAATTGTTTTATGACTTTTAAGGCAAAGAGAACTCATAAAAAATGCGTGGCAAATGTTTTTGAATGCTTGCGACTCGGTCACCATGCTATCAAACGCTCTTATGACTTTTGCGGCGACATACGTAAGTTCTGAATCACGTCCTGTCTATTGTAATTTACCTACCAATCTCTAGTAAAAATTATGCTTTATTACTTACTAATTATTGCGTAATGCTGCGCTTATAGCTAAGTTTTAATCAGTTCCTAGAACAAGCTTACCCGAAGCGAACCGCGTTGGTGTGGTCAAGGCCTACCTAACCTTAGTCCACGCGTGAAGCTTAAGAGCATAACTACAGATTTTACGGGTAAACTAGCACTTAACTAATGATGCTGACATAAAAAACCCTGAGTTCAAACCCCGCCTGCGCGTGTAGTCAGGTTACGCATCAAGGGTGATAAATTTTTGAATTTTCCTTGTCAGCAGACACTTTCCAATTGAGCCCAGGGGAGAATTTCATGAGCGCTGCCGTCTACGCCAAAACTCGAGAATAGGAAGGTATAAGTCGTATAATGACGGAAGTTTCGTAACTGATGTTTTTTGAGTCGCCAATTTTGAATTTGATGTCAAATTGCCTTCATTTTAACAGGCACACTGCGGCGCGGCGTGCTGCCAGCTCGAAACGCGCACTGACGCCTACAAACCTAAAGGGATACTTCAAGCATTGCGCAATGCGCGAAGTAGCGCCTACAAACCTAAGGGGATGCTTCACGCATTGCGCAATGCGTGAAGTAGCGCCTACAAACCTAAATGAAAGTCAGCGAACATTGTCAAGTAATGTGTGGAGGTAGTAGCACTATATATATATGGGTTTGTGTTGGTAGCCGAGTGCTAGAAATAATGCAAAAAATGTTTTCAAAAAAACACTTACATTTTATTAATAAAGTACCGAAGCTTTTCGAGGCGGACGCCTCATCGTCAGGGTAACAACAAAATTAATATCACAAAGGCCGTTGCCATATTTTAAATTTCAAACTAGGTAACAAGTGATAACAAGCTATTAGATCAGTCTTACTGATCAAAACAAAGTCAAGTAGTATCAAGTTAGTATATGTTTCTCATCAGAGATGGCAGCACATTTAGTAATTCTTCCCCTCTTTTTACTGCCTTAGTTATTGTGTAGAATTTTAATTTATTTTATCTAATGTTTTTCTGTTTTGATGTGCTTAAATACGTTCGAGGATGGAAGAGTCAAGTGTTCATTAACTCTACAGTTGATTGAGCGCTCAGTTTTTCCAATATATATTTTCTTGCATGAATTACAATCTAAACGGTAAACGCCAGTTATTTTCTTACTATTATCACTATTGCTTTTACCTTTTTTGATTTTGTTGGTGACCTTCCTTATATTGTCTAGTACGCTGTTATTAGTCTTAAAAGCTGTTTTGTACTCAGTTTTTTTTAAACAATTGCTAATTTTTGAGCTAACAGGGCCAAAATAATCAATTTTTACATATTTGTCATTATTTTTGGGAACTTTCCAAGCAGAAAATTGTGTTGCCATGGGCCTACCAATTTCTGGTACTATTGCACAAGTGTTCTTAAATAATTTTGAAGAAATGAACATTATGAATGACAAAAATCCTTTCTTTAAAAACATCAAAAAATATTACTGATATGTTGATGACACCTTTTTTGTTTTTGTTGGGACTGACCGGATCATAAATCAATTCTTAAAATACCTAAATAGCCTCTCAAAACACATTCAATTCACCATAGAACATATGAGTAATAACCAAATTAATTTCTTAGATCTTACTGTAATTGTCGACACGGATAACCTCATCCAATTCAAAATATTTCGTAAACCTACAGCCACTAATAGTAAATGTGCTGCCATCTCTGATGAGAAACATATACTAACTTGATACTACTTGACTTTGTTTTGATTAGTAAGACTGATCTAATAGCTTGTTATCACTTGTTACCTAGTTTGAAATTTAAAATATGGCAACGGCCTTTGTGATATTAATTTTGTTGTTACCCTGACGATGAGGCGTCCGCCTCGAAAAGCTTCGGTACTTTATTAATAAAATGTAAGTGTTTTTTTGAAAACATTTTTTTGCATTATTTCTAGCACTCGGCTACCAACACAAACCCAAACCTAAATGGATACTTCAAGCATTGCGCAATGCGCGAAGTAGCGCCTACAAACCTAAGGGGATACTTCAAGCATTGCGCAATGCGTGAAGTAGCCCTTTAGGTTTGTAGGCGTTGGTGCGCGTTTCGCGCTGCTGGCAGCACGCCGCGTCACGGCTCTACCGACGGGCGGTCGGCGAACGATTTCTTGCGGGGAGAGCTCCCTGGCGGAGAAACTCACCGTGTATCGGGTAATTTTTTTATTATTATTATAATTATTATTTTTTTTTTTAAATTTTCGACTTTTAAAATTACACACTGGTCGTGTGAAGTAATTCGTGAACTCTCAACGCTAGATGAAGTGATATTCAAAGTCAGCGAACATTGTCAAGCAATGTGTGGAGGTAGTAGCACTATATATATATGGGTTTGTGTTGGTAGCCGAGTGCTAGAGATAATGCAAAAAATGTTTTCAAAAAAACACTTACATTTTATTAATAAAGTACCGAAGCTTTTCGAGGCGGACGCCTCATCGTCAGGGTAACAACAAAATTAATATCACAAAGGCCGTTGCCATACTTTAAATTTCAAACTAGGTAACGAGTGATAACAAGCTATTAGATCAGTCTTACTAATCAAAACAAAGTCAAGTGAAGTGATATTATAGAGGTGCAGGTGCTCGCACCATGCTCGCTGCGGACGGCGCAGGGCGGCTCATGAAATTCTCTCTTGTGCTTTGTCGGTCATTTTATTCTTTGTCTCAGAAACCATCCGGTTTCCCCAAATAGAAAGGTAAAAAAATCTACCTTAAACAAGCAAGGAATCTTGTAGCTAAATATTAGCAATTATTTTCAAGTTTCATTTCTGTCATTTTGAAAAATTTTTCGTAACTTCATCTGGACACAGAAAATACAGTTAGAAAAAAATAAATAAATAAATATGATAAAAAAAATGAATTGACTAAAATTACGCGTAGGGGAGATTGAAGACAATTTGAGAATGTTTTTACACTTGGGCTAGGTTTTCTTATATCTCTCCCCCGGAGAACCTGGTTATCTACGACAGAGCAAAAAGTTCCTGCGGGCGAGAGAGGAGGAGTATTGATAAAGGTTTTTTTTGCCTCCCCCCTCCTAGAGAGCCTTTTTTGCCCTTTTTAGCCTTTCAGCCTAACTGCCCTCGATAATATACGCAGCGTGCATACAATTGGAGAGACGTGTTTCTCTAAGATTTTTGCAGATGTCCCTCAGAAGTCAATTTGTGAAAAAGTTTTTTTTTTTTATCTATGAGCGCATCATCTAACTAAAACCAAACCAGGGTAAAAATGTGTCCTAAAGCCTCCTTGATAAAATGTCAAAAGCTCGTTTTAGTTAGACGATGCGCTCGGTGTCAAAAAAGCCTCGAAGTGATAGAAAAACACGCATTTTCGCTAAAATACGCCTGCAGACGTATGTTCAGGCAACCGTTTAACACGTATTTAGTGGCCTATGGACCAAATCATGATTATATCTGTAAACTACATTGAGTGAACTTGGAAAGCCCGCGTAAATTTCCAGATTCTAGGTGGGGCCAAAAAAGATCCTCTTGGGGGGGGGGGGCAAAAAAGGCCCTTATCGATACCCCTTCTTTGAAAAGCGTCATACAACTCAGCATTTTGTGCGTTTAAGAGTACATTTCAAACTTTTCGACTCCTCTAGATTCTGGGGTGGTTGTAGGTACAATTAAAAAGTCTATTCACTTACCTTCATCTCTCGTGAACAACAGACCCACGCAGCCACTCTTACCGCCTTTATCTTGTTGTATATCTTTCACCAGGAAATACGAAATTCAGGTGGTAAAGCAACCGTAGATGTGATGATGTTCACTTCATATTTTTTGGGAAGCATTTTGGCGTTGTTTTCTGTTTGCCACTTCTCAACTCTTCTTCAAGATGCTGTAAGTTTAATATATGCATATATAAAGTCGCTTTACAACGCACTCTGGCGTTCTACGACACCCAAACGCCACATATGCCTGTCTTCCCAGAGGTTATCGGGCAACTGACAACGCAACATCTCTTCGTCAACGCCCTGCCGCCAACCCTTTACGGGACGTCCCCGTAAAGTTAATAGTACGCCCCGTGTAAGTTTAATACTTTGCTTTAAGAAGTGATAAACTGAAGCAGGATTAAAAGTGTAGCAAAATGTTGGATTTCCATGATTGATGCGGAGGGGCGGGGGCGGGGTTAAAAAGTAGGTAGAAATACCTTTGGTAATATTTGAACAACTACGATAATTCATAATAATTAATTATAGAAATTCGTGAAAGCATTAGATTAAGCTGATCCTGATCAAACCGTAAAGAGAGATGAGCACTGGTGAATGAATAAAGGTGAGAGCGTCTGATACCTCATGCCCCCATGTTAAAATAGTGCACCAATATGTCAAAAAACTGTAAATAATATGATTATTTTCTAATTTGGATTGCATTTTGCAATTAAAAAATGTTAAATCTCTGGTTTATCGATCAAATCACCTATCTAATTGTGAGATAGTCCATACGCTGCTTACTGTGTGCTTTTTTCAGCATGACAATCTATCGGTTGCACTTTGGGGGTCCGAATGGACTACTGATGGGATAAAATTTAAAAAACTTTTCTTTCTCTCTATGGTGTCTCTGAGACGACCATTTGTATTAAAATTCTACTCGCACTATCCGATCAACCTTAAAGGCTTCGCTAAGGTGAGTTCACATCAGCATTCAAGATCCTTATCATTTTAAGAGTAAGCTTTTATTCGACTATGATGTGACGGACCATTCCTGGTTTTTTTGCCTGAATTTCCAATTGATATTTTGTGTGAAAACCTCCACTTCTCATCCCCCCCCCCTAAAGCAAGAGATTTATGATAAAATGGGTTGTGAACGTTTGAGCTCACTTTTAGTACCTATACAGCTTTCATTCAAATATTCTAAAGATCGATGCTGTCGAATAAAAAATTAGTAATGAGAGAACATTGGGGCTTTGCAAAGTGAAAACGTGATTAGATCATAGGACTATTCAGTCCGTTCCCATTCCAAGCCTTTAAAATATTGCAGGCAGCCAAGTTGACAAAAGTTGGCGCAACACCATTTAGCTCATAAAGTAGACAGATAATAACTATCAAGGCAAATTAACAGGCATGGTAACAAAATTTTCACGACTTCGTCAGGTAGATTCAGCGGTCAGTCTAAAAATTCATAATTTCTGAATATCATCACGAACCAAATATTGCAATCTTGAGATTGCATAATGCATATACACCTAATTTTTGTCTAATTTTTTTTTTTTTTTTTTTTTTTTTTTTTTTTTTTTTTTTTTTTTTTTTTGTATATATCCTAGAATTTACTTATTTTACAGTTTACAGATTTCTTTATAAGATCCTATTTTTACATTGTTTATTGTATCTCCCCCTGTATTTCCCTGGTGAAGTGTTCTTTGAAGGTCCTTATCCTTTTTCTTTTTTACTGTAATTTTCTGTTTTTTATTGTAATTAATCCGCGAATGAAAGTTGAATTTGTGTACGAAGTTGCGTTGTGAAGAAAAAGTGAAAAAGAAAATAAAAAAAATAGGAGTAAGTTCATAAAATGAACTTACGGAAAACATACTTTTTCCGGGTTTTCACTGTATTTTGCCACACTACTTCGCAAAAAAACTTAAATTGTACTCTTTAGAGTGAAAATAAGATGAACAGAAAATAAAGGTCGCATCTCATATTATAGTTCCAACTTATTGATGAGATTATTACAAGAATACTACATACGTAACGATTAATATTTCTTATTTATCTCTTGTTTTCGCTTCTACTTTTAGAGTATATCCAGTTCCTGGTCGTTCTTCTTGTTCCTGTATCAGATTTCTTCAAAAAAGGAAGTTTACCGGGCCATCTAAGTTAAAGGTGCCAGGGAGGGATTAATCTCATCAATTTTTGTAAACAAAATATATGGAGACAATTATTAAACCTTAAAACTTACGTTTCATCTCTTTGCGAGTCACCTCAATATACGATGATTTAAGCTGGACGATTGGTATAAATTTGAAACAAAAACACGGTAGATTTGTACAATCAATCATTTATTTTTTTACATGCTCGATATTTTCATTGATCTTCTCCCATGCAATTTTATAGCACAGTGAGAATAATGTATATATCTGGATGTGTTTTTTTTTTAAAAAAAAGAAAGAAAAAGAAACAAATATGGAAAGCGAATGTAAAACAAGTATTCATACATCGATTCTTAAACCTAACACAGTACAAAAATAAATTAATACTTACATAAGTTTAAATAAAAAATAATTTTAGCTTCAAACGGACTCACAAAAATACTTTTTATGAAAAAAATACAATTTAACAAAATAGTCTATGACCTTATTACATACCCGCCCATACGTTCTTCTAAATACTTTACCAGGAAGAAAATCACAAACTTGAGTGAAAATAATGAAATCAGTTCTGTATTAGCGTCTTGAATTGAGAGCGCAAATTGAAAGTGAATGTGTATGTCTCTTACTCTTGCACTGTCAGTTTAGAATGCCGTGGACCAATCAAATATTTAAGCATCCAAACATTTTTCCGAGGCATTCCATTTCAAATCTCTCCTTGCTTATCCATGTTCCTCCTGAATTTAAATATGTAAAAGTACACTTAAGTGTAAATTAAGATTGGATGGGGAGAAAGGAGATTGCCAGATATTGAGTTTGTGCGTTTCATTTGAAATTCGAAAGAAAAAAGAGGGTAAAACGCATTATGAACTCACGTGATACTATTTTGATACATTTAAATTACAAGGAACCTTTACCATTACCTCCTGGGCTCTAAGACTCATGAGCACACATTCATAAATTGCATAGTGGCTAATGTCGCAATGGAGATGGTTCCTTTTGATTTAAGTAAGTTCATGTTATTATTGATGAACTTACTCTAGGCAACGAATTAAACTGCATTTATGCATAATCATTTGAACATAATAATATGGCTTCACCAAATCAGGAGTGTCTACCATACAGAGCGAGACAGAGATAGAAAAGGAGAAGGAACTGCTATACAATAATAATTTCTATGAGTTACTTATGCGCACTGAAGAATATTACATAGAAACAGATGTACATTTTTAAGACCAAAAGTAAAACATATATTCGTCATTATCTTATGTTGTGAGAAAAACGAATCTCCACAAGAAGGTCCTGGAACTCGAACGATTTTCGAAGAGAGGTTTTTGTAGTGTTTGTATTTATAACCGCAAGACGAAGATCTCCATTAAAATAAATGAATAATATTACGGAATAAGAAATGAACATAAAAGTTAAATCTGCAGTGTGTATATCGATGCTTACGAGTACTTGAGAAAATATAGCTATCGTCAATGAAATCGTTAAATATTTTGAAACGATTGAGTTCAATAAAATAAATTTGCGTTCATCAAGTGCCCTTCATAGGCATTACATTTGATACAGATAGTTTAACCGGTCATTTCTAATTGAAAGTTCATTTTAATAAGTAATTTAGATGCTTCTACAAAGGATCATACCGTTTATAGATGAAACCCAAAACAGTAGTGCTATTACCGAGAAAAAGCTTCCTACCGAAGTCGCAAGAATTCTTGTCAATTATCCCGTGAAAGCTAGGAGTTTATCGTTGTAATAACAGGAAAGATCCTTGGTTTACTTTGACTCCACGAATTTTCTTTTTCTTCGAGGTTCAAAGGTAAGCATTTCGAGCAAAACATAGTTTTTTTTTTTCTTCAAATTTTGAGCACAGTAAGGATTTAGCTTTCTAATTTGTCTGTACTTAATCCTCTGAGAGATAAAAATTAAAAACATTGTATTTACATTTTCTTAAAAAATAAAACTATGAAAATAAGATTCAACGCAAGTAATTTTACAGAGGCAATAAAAATTAAAGTCAGCAGGGGCATTGTATTCCTGTGCTTTTTCCTTAGTTTTTCAGTTCTATCACTGACAAACAGTCGTGACATGAAGTTAGTATAATGTACAGGTCAGAGGAAATTTTTGAAAGTTGGCAACACTGTTTTTTTCCATTTGAATGTATGTAAAACAATCGATTCTTGATGAGGCAGCTTGCCTTACCTAAAATCGATATTTTGAATGGATTCAAATGGAGGAAAAACATTCTTGCCAACTTACAAAATCGCCACTAGTACAGATGGATATATTCATGCTAACAGAAACTATTTGCAAAAGAATAAAATTAAAAGGAGCTACGAGGCACGCAAATCTGATGTGGGTCCTTTTGATTTTGATTTACACCATTTACACATAGTTCCCTTCAGCATAGTTACGTTCAAATATTTCGTAATCCACCTCTTCCAGGGAGTAGGTACTCATAAATGATCCTATCTTCGCTCGGTACCTATACGGGGGAAGGGGTAGTCTCTGAATACAGTATGTAATGAATTCTTTAACTCGTCAACAAAAACAGGAGAGAAAAAAACCATCAAAAAATATAAAGACAAAAATATTTGTTGTATGTTTTTTAGTACTGAAGTAAAAAAATAAAACTCGTAATTTTAGTTCAGATATCTAACTTCAGATTTTAGTACCACTATCCTTTGCATTTGAGAAATCATAGTGTCATATGTAGTGCCGTCATTGAATAACGGAAAATTGCTGCAAAATCCGAACTAACCACCATCTCTTACTTCATCTGACCAGTTTATTACTTAATGTTCAATCGTTCCAACCGCATCACTCAAGGAGTTGGAAGTGTCTGACTAAAAACGGTTCTCTCCTAAAGTAGGCACCAATGATGGCCTAATGGTGATGGAAATGACCATCATGGTCATGGTCATCGTGATGTTCGTGGAAGTGATGATGGTCCTCTCCAGCCAACGCTTCACTGCCCCCGTGATGACTGTGACTGTGGCTATGGTGAGCTGTAACAAAAATAAACAGAAAACAAAATTACATTCATGAAAATCGTAACAGTTTCCTTTGAACCTAAAGCTACACATCAAAGAAAACTCAACACAAAAGTTCGGTTGACTCTGGTATTTAAAAGTATTTTGATTGTTTTCTGCGCTAAAAATGCAACTTGTACGTAAAATAACACAAAACTTGGGTTGGTTGATGTTTCATCTCATATTTAAACCAAAAGTAACAACAAGAACACAAATATTTTTATCAGTGTAGAGGGAAAAAAAAGAAAAAAGGGAATAAAGAGGAGATGGGGAGAGTGACCTAAGGATTTTCTAAAACTAATTATTGCGCTGCTCTCTTATCGTTTGCTGTTATTTCTTAATACCTTACACCTCAGACGGAGAGAGTTGAATGACTAAAGTAAAATAAGTCAAACCTTATCAATTATGATAAAACAGCCTAATAAATTATTCAAAAGGAGTTATTTCTATAAAATTTTTCGAGAGAAGCCCCCGGACCTTCCTGTCCTTCGGGGATGTCTCCACAGACCCCCACTCAAAATCACCAAATAACCCTCCATCGAGATATCTCTGGTTCTGCCATACTATAACTAATGATAAAAATATATTGGTTCTGATCCTCGGTCAAGAAATAACCAAATCTAGAGCTGTGAAAAGGCTCGTGAAATGAAAAAAGAGACAATTTTTCATCTTCCGCATGCATTCCTCCATCCACAGCATTAAAGTGAAAGTATCTCAAAGTCTCTCCAAATCTTAATATTTCGGTGTACCTCACTCTTTTCTTTATCCTCGTTCACCGAAGTCATCGTGCCAGCTAAAATATTACTTCACAATGTGAACCATTATTATTTCTTTTGCTATAGGAGGAACACTTCTTTTTGTTAGAGCAAAAGAATCGGTCAACATCAATATTGACCACTAATAATGTTTCTGGGTAGTCGATATTGCATACTCGAAGGTTTGAAGGCTCTTCTTTTAGGACTTCTTTTTGTTAGAGCAAAAGAATCGGTCAACATCAATATTGACCACTAATAATGTTTCTGGGTAGTCGATATTGCATACTCGGAGAGTTGAAGGCTCTTTCTGCTCGTTGTGATTATAGCTTGGTATCCTCCATTCCCTTTGATGATAATGTAACGATCCGTGTTCGTTCGCGGTGACTTCAACTTTGAGAGCTGTGTGTGAACTTTTGAGTAAATTGTGGACAGATCAGTGGCGGCATCATTAAGTTCTTTACAACATTAGACACCAATTTTCATACAGATAATACGGTCAAAATACAAGAAACATCCTGGAAAGTGACTTCGGCGTAAGGTCGAAATCATCGGGTCGAATAAAATTATTACTTTTGCAGTGGATTGTGATAAAATTCGACAGGGGATCATTGATGATGATTCTTGACAGCAGCTTGCTATAAGCCAAAATCGTTGTCAGGCAGCTAAATTTAATTACGTTGTACATTATACGTAGATAAATAAAAGTCATTAAGTGAGCCGCTGTCTTCATATTTGCTTCCAATTCCGATTGTAACTTCATCCATTTCAGATGATTTAAATTGAAAGTCATGAATTTGCATAGAGTGCAAGGGCTATACTTAAAACCCTTTCTTAAACAGCTTCTTTCCATTGGAGGGTCCATCCAATACGGATTTTAATGTGATTTAGGTAGGCTTAAAGTGATACTTAACAGGGCGGCGTGAAAGGAAAATTTTAACTAATCCCGAAATAATTTCAAAGGTATAACTTAGAAAATAGATCCTTGCACGATACCAGAATCATTAGCCTCTACGAAAAATAAAATCGATAGAAAATCTTCGTAATTTCTTGCAAGGATTATATATTTGAAGTTATTCTGTTGCATAATACTATAGATTCGTTAAAATTGTCCTTTTTGTGATTCAATGTTGAGCACTCTCAATACTTTTTGAAGTGCCAGTACAATAGCAACTCCTCTTAATAAAACTATACTTTTAAATAAGAGAAACACTAAACTCCTCGAACGATATGCATACTTATAAATGAAAATGAATTTTCATTATACTTATGTTTATTTGGGGTATGGCGATGTAATTAAATTTAGTTATTTATTTTCTGGATTCCATGTGTTATAGTTTCTTCTTAGATGCCTACCTTATGAAAACAAAGTAAGCCATGAAGGACTTCCTCAAGGAAAGTAGCTGTTGACGGGACTACTACAAATTCATCATATTAATTTTTAGGTCTCGGATATCTTGTGTTATAATGATTTACAAAATCAATCTTCTACTAAAATTAGAGGAGGAGGCAAGGTTGACCGATCAAGATCAGTCAGCGATCAGAAAGGGAAACTTCGAGCGGGTCCATGCCTGGCAGCGACATGAAACTCTTTCTGGCCGTCCATAATAATCTGGATTGCTGGCCCTCGTATTACGGCAAAATCAGTATAGCGGTCGGACTTAACGACAAATTACCGGGCTCCAAGACGAGGATTACTCAGAGTAGAAAATCGGTTAACGTAACTTGACGTAACTGACTGTCTCGTATGGAGATTCTGTTTTCACACACGATTAAATCAATACCACACCAAACATTTATGTTGGGAATGTTTGACGATTTTTGATAGTGCCAGTAGGACGGATTTTAATATGATCAGTTAGACGACACCAGACGTTGTTTAATTTTTTACTCGGAAATTAAGCATCTTGACTTGAAATCTTATAGGATATTGGAATTTTGTATCCAACATGCGTAAAAAGTTCAGCTTAAAGCTGATATCTCATTACAGAAAGAAAAAGCTCACACACAATCACAATTTTCCCTCATAGAGAACATAGACAGTTTGTGTGAAATCTTATGGGTATATTTTGTATAATTTTGAGGTAATTCACAGAGAGCTTTGAGGCATTGTATAATTTGGAGAAAATTCACAGAGAGCTTAGAGGCATTATGTATGTATAAGCCGCTTTTATGGCGCGCTGGAGCGCGCTGCAGGCATTATCTTGTTTAATTCTCTCTTGGTTTTAAAAAAAGAAATGCAGTTAGACAGAATGAAATCCATCCGATTTCATTGGATTTTTTTTAAAAAAAAGTTAGGTGATTCTCAGTATGCTCTTCCGAAAGCACATAAAAGTTTCATTTGTAGATCTGAATATGAATATGAAATTTTTAAATGTACAAAAAAATCTCATCAGATGAGAAGCAAATGTGATACAATGGACATAATCTAAAATTTAAATTTGCCCTTTCCGTGAGTTTTGCCGCTATTTCACCTTTCACATTGTGCGGAACTGACCGGATGAAAATCATAATCCAACACTGACTCGCCTTTATTTCCCCATTAAGCGTTGTAACATGCACTGAGCACATGAGTCGCAGTGACCGTGCGTTTTTACACCAAAAACCACCGAAAATCACTTTCACTTGAAAATACTCAGGCTTGCGAGTGATATTACACTATGTGTGAGTGACCAAAAGGCACAAAATTGAAAAAAAAAGATGAGCAGAAGCTGAAAAGTGAGAGGCGATTCTAATCAAGCTCCTGGAAGTTACGGCACGATTTAAGAGACCTTCAGACGCAGGCCATTCGAGGGGATTTGAGCGCGTCGAGGTAGCAAGGTGATACAATTCCGATGAACACAAATGAAGAGTTAAAAGCCGCCATGGCTTGCATGATTGCGAAACGAAGTTTCAAAGTTTCATCTGACAAATTATTTCTTTATTAATTCTTAGATGCTTGTTTCACATCAACAATTTCAGGGACATTTTTGAGAAATCGCACCAAAAACTCATGTAAAAACTACAAAAGATATTTTAAGAGTTTTTCAACAGCTTTTACGTGTATTTTACTTGTTGTAAATTTCATTTAAAAATACACAAAAGGGTCTCCCAAAACAAAAATAATTGTAACGCACGTAACATAGGAGTCGCTGTCACAGCGGGCTGTGAGACTCTAAGACGCCTAACCGTCACAGAACCCGGTCTTCCCACAACCCTTCATGGAGTTGGCACTCCCTCTTTTCATTTAAAACCCCCTGTTCCTATCCCCCCTAGTCCTCTTCGACTCCTCCCAGGAGGTACCCAATCGAGCATTTTCTTTGGCAGCCTCTCTTCTGTCATCCTATTAACATGGCCGTACCAGACAATCTGTTTGGTCATGACGTCGAGTAAATTCATTTTCGACTCGACTCAACTGTCATTTCGTCATAACTGTAGTACTTTTTTTAAAAAAAAGTTGCCTTCAGATTCACCTACGAGTTCTTTAATAGTTGTTTTAATAGTTATTGCTACCAGGGTTACTGAATTTCAGCGAGATGGCAACGATGGTTGCATCAGAAATGGATGGGTGATGCGGTGATGGGTCCATGTGGAGGAGGTCTCGTCAGATGACGGAAACTGTCGGACGTGGAGGGTGTACCAATCGAGCGGTGACGTAGCCGTAATCGCTTTTCTAACGACTAACGTGTCGTGTCTTCCTCGAGTCATGACGTTGCATCGTGGCCCCGAGGCCCCGCAGGCTTCACCGTGATTCACACCCATGAATGAAGTGTTGCTTGCGATATCGGAGTTCTCGTCTTCATTGCTTCGACAAAACCACCTAAGAGCATTTGAAAGTTGCCAAATTTTCTACGATATTACATTTATTTTTGAGAGAAGTTATGAATATTTGCCCTTGTTTTCAGATGTTTTAGATTGAATTGCGAATCGGATTTCGAAAAAAATGTATGAGCGGATCCAGGGGGGCGGGGGGCGCGTAGAGGGCGTGCTCATCCTCTGTTTGCCCGAAAAAAAAGGGGGGAGAAAAAGAGAATGAAGAGAAAAGGAAGAGAGAAGGAAGAAAGAAGGAAGAAAGGAGGAGGCAACGGAGGAGAGAAGAAGGAAAGACGCTCAAATTTGGCAATTATTCAAGGTGAAATTGACTCAAATTGCATATCAGATACTTCAAAAATTTTTTGAGGGAAGCCACCGGAGCACCCTTACGCCCCCCTCTCCCCCGTTCCAGGTGTCTGGATCCGCCTATGG